TACTATTTGTTCTACCAAATCCCAGAGTTTCTGAAAACTTTTTGATAACACATATAGGTACTGTGTCAAACAGTACATGTTCGATTACATAAATACCTTTACAAAAATCATATATTGTTTTGACATGAGAAAGTATTTCATTCTTATCTAAAAATGGAGTAGGTAACCGGTTCATCGTGCACATTGATTGTCTTGCAAATATATATGCGATATGTAATGTTATCATTGATAACGTTATTTACTGTAACAATTGTGTAAAAAAATTTTACTTTGTTTTTACATCAAACACCTTTCTTTTAGAATTTTGCAATACACGGGCCAGCACTGTTTTGGCCAGGCGTTTCGCTATTAAATAATTATACCAGGAACCTGGGCTCAAGCTTCCATGTACTTTGAGTACCAGAATAACTAAAATTAGAAATGGTTTCATAACCAGTGGGGGTCTACCTACTCCAGTTCTATCCGATAGCCGCCCGAAACAACTGTCAAATAAGTATACCTACTCGACCTAATTGTAAGACGCATATTGCGAATGAAGCGACATACTTAACATTGTTTTTTGATTTGGTTGAGTATTACTTATTTGACAGTAATTGTATCAAATATCTAGAAAAACCTGTGTGTCATGGATACATACACACACATACACACGTAGATAACTACAAATTTCACCTAAACTCGACGCGGTAGTCGAACGTGGGTCCCACATGGTAACCGTGCGGCCACGGAGACAGTATTTCGTCGGGGATAGTGCAAATCCGCGTCCGTTCAGCTACGGGGTCATAGGAAACACAACACTTAAAAAACGGATAGAAAAAAACAATTGAGTGATATGGACAAAAAGGTTTTTTAAAGAATAACCATTGCTGATTTTCAGTGTTCACCGGTAGCTAGCTAGCTGTTCGCTTGCTGCACCAAGCTATTATATCACACGGTTAATACAATAGTGTATTAACTAAAAAAGTGCATTTTCTCAGAAACGATGAAAAACGAATTACTTTCACTTCCCGTGAAAGATCATTAAAATTTATGTATTTATTACAGACACTTAAACAAATTTCTACTTGCCAAATATATTTAAAAATAAAATGGCAAAAAATATTTCACATTTTTTAATAAGGACTATTTTGGCCTGAACTAGATCACATAAAGTGTGATTCATTACGACTGAAGTCGATATCTTTTAATTATTTCTTACAATATTCTAACGCCGGTGGTATTGACGTGTTGAGATTGAGAATCATTCAGTGAATTTTACGTTCAGTGACGATATAATATTGAATTTCACATATTTTGAGTTACAACACTATTGTACTCCTAGTGATAACCCACCTTAAGTAATAACTAGTACGTAATAAGTTAAAATTTAATGTCTGTCCGTGTAAATTTATATTTTTTTTAAATATATAATAACCCAAAATTTAAAATTTTGTCCTGCTAGGAGTTTTAATTGGGACTAGTTGTTACTCTGTTTTTGTACAGACAGGAGCCATTGCTTACATCGTTTTTAACAACGTCGTTTAAAACACTACCTACTCATCACGCTTGACACCTTGGACTTTGAACTGTTATTTTAACAAGATGCACAGAGTTGTATGTTACGTGTTCTTGAACGATACATCATTTATCAAAATTTAGCACGTACCTACTTATTATCTTCATCTGTAAACGTAACGTAAATACGGGAAGTATAAGAAAGTGTAAGTGATATTTTGTATTGAATAAAAGCTGATAATAATAATATGATAAAATAAAAAAATACGAAAAAAATTACCGAACAACCAAAGCTGCTTTCTCTATAAACTGAGAGGCCGAGCCTGAACAGCACTACGCTGACGCTCAGCCCTTTTAACCGACTTCAACAAAAGAGGAGGTTCTCAAATCGACTGTATTTTTTTTGTATGTATATTACGCGATAACTCATCTGTGAACCGATTTTGATGATTCTCCTCTCCTCTCCTTCTTTTTTTCAAGTCGGTTACCAAATACAGATTTAAAATAACTCAGATAGCACAATAAAAAAATCTTAAAAGATTAGTTTTGGTAAATTTATTACAAGGTGTAAAAAGTCATGGAACATGGGAGTGTTTGTCTCTGATGTTAGCAAATATAGGTTGTTAGTATTTTACACAAATACAGGGGATATACCAAAGGAGCCTCCCAGCAAGACGTACCATTCCTTTCCTATAAGTCTGGCGTACTCTTGGCAACAATCGGAAAGTATCTTACGCTGATTGGCAAATTCTTTCAATACGATGGCAAGCATTATAGTGTACCTATGCCGTCGCTACGATAAGTATTTTAATAACCATATGTGAAGGGGCTCGGATCGTTATAAGGAGGCAGTGGACTTCGTTCCTTCCGTTCTGGAGAATTTACCCATAAAACCATTGACTTACAATTATATGGACGTCGGGTCCGCGCTAAAAAGTGTCCGAACTTATAGGGCGTTAAAATCGTATACAGAGCGTCATTCACGCTTTAGTCTTCGTTTGTTCGACTGACAGCGATGCAAGCAAAATTAGACAGTACTGCGATGACATTACAATTTAAATTCAACGTTTTAGCTTTTCCATATTCCTTTACATGTCACTACGTTTAAATACGTTGACTTGGGACATTTTTTTCGTGGTTTTTGTATTAGACCCGTCGTCCATTTATTTCGTCGTACACACCGAGCCCGCCGCCACCGACCCGGCGACACAGCCCGGGGCGGGTTGTTGTCGGTGGCCTTATTTCTAATCTAATCCTACGACATGATTATAGAAACAAGGCCGCAGACACCAACCCGCCTGTGTCGCCGGGCTCGGTGTGTAGAAAGCTTACTGTTTTGTAAAAATTCGTGAAACAAAAGTTGTTGTTTTTAAGTTAGGTGAAATTACAGGCACATGGGACTTGTCAACTTATATCTCAGGGTGATGGGCGCAGTGGCAGGGCCTCAGATCTTTACGATTTAAAGCTCTGACTGGCACTGCAACTGTTATGGACAGGCGTGTAGCTTACCATCAGCCTCACGACTTGTTTGTCCCGTCACTTAAGTGACGTTACATTTACCAGTAACAAATTTTTAAGTTTTTGTTACATTTTTTAGTTATGCCTTGCGCGTGCTGTCATTAATAAAAATAATTTTGGTAGTTTGTGCTTTCTTTTACTACCGCACAGAGTTATCACCATTTATTTAAATAGGTATTTTTATTATCGTACGAAAGTAATATCCGATGATTTATTACAAAGTCACAGTAAAATACCTAATCCTGCGCGGTTTGAGTTATATTAGTTTATATATAAAAAAATATATACAAATGATTGTTAGAGAATATTTGCATTTCAAAGTTATGACAAAAATGGCGACGATGAGGAGTGGGACAATTTG